ATCTGCGTGTCAATGCAGAATGGAAATAAAACAAAAAATTGTGCAGGTAAAAATTTAATCTTGAGCTTTATTATCACCGAAGCTCACTTTGGCAAATGTACAAAATAATTTAAAAATGAAAAAAAAGAATTTTTTTCATCAGAAATTTGAAATCTACTGACTACATGTAGTTAATTAGTCCCTGGACGAAGTTTGAAAATGGGGACTTATAATTCGGTCTCCGTTCATGTGTCTGTGCGTCCATGTGTCCGTCCAGAGTCATATCTCAGAATCCCTTAGACCGATTCCGTTCATTCTTTGCATGTGCCTAGTACATTATGTGGGATATATGCACATGCAGTGGTTTAGCGATTCACTTCAAAATGGCCGACTGGCAGCCATCTTGTTTTTTGAAAATGTTGTATTTTGGACATGCTTTGTCAGTTGTCATTCTAACTTGGTACATAGATTATACATGTTAGGATACATGTTCATGACGATTTATTTCACAATTTGATCAAAGATGGTCGACTGGCAGGCATCTTGTTTTTGTTTTTTTATGTGGTATCTTGGATGTGCTCTGTCAGTTTTTTCATTCAAATTTGGCACATACATGTACTTTATACATGTTAGGATGCATGTCCATGACAATTTGTTTCAAAATCTGGTCAAGGATGGCCGATTGGCAGCCATCTGAGTTTTTGGCCCTACTACTATATTTACACAATTTATGTGCCATTTTCATTCGTATTTGGCACATACATCATACATATCAGTGTGTTTCATAATCAGATCAAAGATGGCCGAATAACAGCTGTTTTTATTTTTAGCCATATTACTACTACACGGAATACGTGTTTTGATGTAAATAAACAATCTGTTGTATACGCCACTTGGAACTCAAGTTTCAAGGACACGCTCGCGACAACCCCTCCGCTTTAATATGATGAGCACAAAGAGAACTTTCAAAAATTTAACGGGGACTGTGTCATTTTCAATGACTTGTTAATATGGAAAACTTGTTAATCAATCGTTTTTATTTCTTACCTTGATTGTCTTCGATGAATTTTAATTCGGAACTCAGTATGTTTTGTGTGGGTTCCTTTGTTCTCTTTCAGTATGTCTATATCTCAGGGCTGTTAAAGATGCATATGGCGATCCCTGGGAGGCATCGATATGCAGAGACTGAACAGTCAAAGCAGGAACACATAGATATTCCGAAAACTGAAACTGAAGATGTTATTGAAACTGGCCTCCCTTGCTAAATAAATGGTTTGTTCACTTTGTTTTATGAGAGGGACAGCAATACAAGGTTACATTGACAATGGCACAATTTATCTTCTAGTCTATGTGTTAACTTATCTCAACACTTCACAATACTATCAATAGCATATGACTCTTAATTTCTTAATTTCTTTCCTCAATAGATTATTCTTACTTGCTTTGATTTCATTTATATCATAATTTGACACATCGTTTTCATAATTATTAATTTAATTTAAATTTATTCATTGTGGAAATGTAATGTTGGTGATCATTTTTTTAATTCATGGATAGTCATTTATTTACAGATCTTCTAGAGATTTCTATACAAAATAATTCTCTGAATCAACACCTCACATGCATCCAGACTTTTTGACTCCCGTGTGCGAAGCACAAAAGGGAGTCTTTGCAGTTACCCTGTCTGTATGTCTGTATGTATGTATGTCACTTTTTTTGTTCCACCGTTATCTCAAGAACCACTAATCAAATTTTGGTGAAACTTGGTAAATAGATACTCTGGGATAATGCGCAGAGTTGATTAGGTTTTGGTAAAAATTTATGAATATTAATTACCTAATTTGCATGATAATTAGCTGATTTTTAGCTGTTTCAAGACTGTTCCACTGATATCTGAAGAACCATTAATTGGATTTTGATGAAATTTGGCACATAGATGCTCTGAACTGGTGCGCAGATTTGATTAGTTTTGGGTAAAAATCTATGAATATTAATTACCTAATTTGCATGATAATTAACTGATTTTAAGCTGTACCACTGATTTTTGAAGAACCACTCATTGGATTTCAATGAAACTTGGCACATGGATGCTCTGAACTAATGCGCAGATTTGATTAGTTTTGGGTAAAAATCTGTTAATATTATTAATTACCTAATTTACATAATGATTAATCAATTTTCAGTTTTT